GTCTAGGCGGTACACAGCAGCAAAGTCAACGAGCTCAGCGACTAAGGCAGACGCAGCAGGAGACGAGAACGTAGGGTCTGTCACAACCGTAGCAAGGAAGCGAGTAAAAGTCGGACTGGACGCATGAGCAAGGTCAGACGGAGGGTCAGCAACGTCAGGAAGAGAGGACGCAGGATGTAACGGTAGGACAACACGCTGTGGAACACAGGAAGGACGGAGTGTCATGTCGTGAGTGCCGGGGACAGCCGGAGCACGCGGACGACGAACACGAGGAACACGAGCACAGACAGCACCTCTAGGCTCAGGCTCAAGGTCAAAGCTAGACTCAGGCTCTCGACGCTCAGGGGTGGAAGCACGAGTCTTAGGCTCTCGACGCTCAGTTAGGGACTGTGTTACCGCAGTGTAAGGAGCAGGAGCAGGCAGTGGGGAGTGCGGTAGCAGCGGCGGCTGTGACTGGTCTGCCGGTGGAAACAGCAACGGGGGAGTAGTACCTGCCACAGGGAAGTCAGTAGCACCGGGCGGAAGACTGAGAAGGTGGCGAAGAGCACCAGCAGCTCCCGTACCTCCAGCACGAGCAGCTCCTCCAGTACCCCCAGCAACACCTCCAGCACCAGTAGCACCAGCATCTCCAGCACCACGAGCTCCGACAGCGCCAGCACCTCGAGCACCAGTAGTACCTCCAACACCTCTAGTGCCTCCAGCTCCAGCTCCAACGCCTCCAGCACCAGTAGTACCTCCAGTACCTCCCGTGCCAGCAGCTCCAGTAGCACCTCCAGTACCTCCAGCACCAGTAGCACCACCTACTCCGGCAGCTCCAGCACCTCCAGTACGAGCACCTCCGGGACCAGTAACTCCAGCACCTCCAGTACCTCCAGCTCCAACGCCTCCATTACCAGCAGCACCAGCACCTCCAGGGTCAGCAGCTCTCGCAGCTCAAGCACCAGCAGCACCAGCACCTCGAGTGCCAGCAGCTCCAGCACCCCCAGCACCTCCAGTAACAGTAGTACCTCCAGCACCAGCAGCTCCAGTACCTCCATCACCGGCAGTACCTCCAGTACTAGCAGCTCCAGTACCTCCAGTACCAGCAGTAGCTCCAGTACCCCCAGCACCAGCAGCACCTCCAGCACCTCCAGGCCTAGCAGCTCCAGTACCTCCAGCACTCGTAGCACCTCTAGTACCTCCAGTAGTGCCTCCAGCACCTCCAGCACCAGCAGCACCTCCTAGACTAGTAGCTCCAGCACCAGCAGGACCGTACCCCCCACCACCAGGACTGCCTCGCCGAACGACCCACGGACGAATCGCCTGCGGCGAGAGCGTCTCAAGTAGAGCAGGCTGCGGTGGCTGTCCAGCTCCAGTACCTCCAGCTCCAGGACCTCCAGAAGGACTCGCAGCACCCCCAAATTCAGCACCCGAAGTCTCAGCACCCCCAGAGTCAGCACCCAAAGTCTCAGTACCCTCAGTCCCAGCACCCGCAGGCTCAGTGCCCTCAGTCCCAGCACCCGCAGGCTCGGTATTCTCAGACCCAGCAGCCGCAGGCTCAGTACCCTCAGTCCCTGTACCCTCAGTCTCAGCTCCAGTGTCCACTGCAGAAGGCTGCAGAGGCGGGAAACTGGGGGGGGTAGCCAAACGAGGAGAGCGGACACCCCCAGACGTACCACCCCCAGGCCCAGCTCCAGCAGCCTCAGCTCCAGAGTCTACAGCAGCAGGCTGCGGAGGTGGCGAAGACGGTCGAGGCGGGAAACCCGGGGGGGTCTCCAAGCGAGGAGTGCGGCGAGTGGTCGCCGTGTCGTCGGCGGCGGTGTCACCCCCCTCAGCTGGGTCAGAGGAGTCAGAAGAGATCTCCACTGGCTCATCCAAGGGGGGTGGGTCTACCTGAGACACACCTGAGGGAGCAGGACCCTGTGGGGGAAGGGGGTCTACCGGGGGGGGGACTGGTACCAGGAAGAGAGGCGCGAGGGGGACCGGGTGAGATGCGTATGGGTGAAGTCGGTAGTAACAGACCGACTCGTCGAAGGTGACGTCCTGAGAGGACAGAACACGACGCGAGGCAGGGTGGTAGAACTGCCAGGGTGGGGCGTCGGTGGGGAAGCCCAGGAAGACACAGCAGAGAGTGCGAGGAGAGAGCTTGCTCGCTTTGGTATCGCGAACAAGGGAGAGCGCGCCCCAGACCCGAAACGACGACGCATCACCAGGCTGTCCCGTCCAACGGAGTGTGGGCGAGGTCTCTGGAGCAGAGACACGGGGCTAGAGGTTGAGCTGATGCGCGGCGTATCGGACCGCAAACGGCCACAGGAAATGGGGAGCAGCCGCATGGATCATGGAGGTACGAGCAACCTCCATGATCAGGCCAATGCGACACTCAGCGATCCCATTTTGCTGCGGAGAGGCCGGAAACGTGAACGACTAGGCGATGCCCTCGTCCTGACTGAACGTCTCAAGGACGCCAGAGGAGAACTCACCACCCCTGTCAGAGTGCAGACGCAGGACTGGGAAGTCCTGCTGAAAACGCTCGTGCAGCTGGAGACGAGTAGTACGGATCCAGGGGATCAAAACACCGCTGACGTCCGCCTTGCGCCGCAAGGGGAAGACGGTGGTGTAGCGTGTGTAGTCGTCAACAACCAGCAGGAAGTAGCGCTCCTGGTCCGTTCCACCGACTGGGGCCGGGCCCCACACGTCCAGGTGGAGAGTCTGCAGAGGAGCAGTGGTCGGAGGAAACTCGGAGGAGTGAGGAGCCGCGTGCTGCCGCCCCTCGACGCAAGGAAGGCACGGCGGGGCAAGCGAGCGCGGCAGGGGGGGCAGGGTCCTGGGGAGGCCAGAGACAAGGAGACGGGAGTGCATACTCCGTAGACGCGGCAGGGAGGGGTGACCAAGACAGTGGTGCCAGCGCTGAGTCTCGTGCGTGAGTACTCCGCACGAGCAAGACGCAGCTAACTGTTCCGACGCAGACGCCCGACTCGACGCAGCCACCTGACCTGACTCAGCCACCTGTGCAGACGCAGTGGTCAGTGTGTACAGACTAGACCCAGGCTGTCGAGTGAACGTAGCCAGGTGACGGCCAGTCCGGGAGCACGTACAGATCGCCACACGCTGCCCTCCAGGAATAAATGTATCAACCCAGACATCCTGAATGGCAGCGTTGCTCACCAAGATCGTTGAGAACGTGGGGAGGTGGAGACCTGACAGAGAACCGAAGGGGACTGCTGGACACCGTGGAGGCTCTCGCAACTACTGGGCCCCCAGAGGGGTCAGCCAGTGAGACAGGGACAGGTGGTGGGAGTGGTGTGACTGTGTTGCAATCACGAAAGAAGCAACGTGACGCGCCTGAGTCAAGTGTGAAAGTGTGCAAGTCCTCAGCGGAGGCAGGACCTGTGGCAGTAGAAGCACTAGCACCTAGAGCGTCGGCAGACTCACGGGCACCTAGAGCTGCAGCAGACTCACTAGCACCTGGAGCGGCAGCAGACTCACTAGCACCTGGAGTGGCAGCAGACTCACTAGCACCAAGAGCAGCAGCCTTAACACAACGATAACCTCCACCACCAGGCCAACCTCGCTGAACAACCCTCTCACGAAGCTGCTGAGGGGTGGGGTCGTCCGGGAGAGGCAATGCCCGCTGCTGTCCACCCCTGGCCGCAGCAACTGCCGCGATAGTGGCCATGACAGACAGCAACGATCAGGAGTAGGTCCAGCACCTCCAGCTCCTCCAGCAACAGCAACACCTCCAGCACTCCCAGCAACACCTCCACCAGCAGCAGGAGTAGCACGAGTAGCAGCAGTAGTAGTAGTAGCAGCAGCAGGGCGGCTCAGTGGGGCTGGGCGGCCGCACCTCCAGCACTCCCAGCAGCACCTCTACCAGCAGCACTAGTAGCACGAGTATTATTATTACTATTATTATTATTATTATTATTATTATTATTAGTAGTAGTAGTAGTAGTATCTTTTTCTTTTTCTTAGGGTTTAGGGTTGCGCGCGGCCCACGGGCTGCAGGGGCGACGCGCGGCTCGGCAGGGCGGCGCTCGGGCTGCAGGGGTAGCGCCCACGGGCTGCAGGGGCGACGCGCAGCTCAGCAGGGCGGCGCGCGGGCTGTAGGGGCGGCGCGCGGCTCGGCAAGGCGGCGCCCAGGCTGCAGGGGCGACGCTTGGCTCAGCAGGGCGGCGCGCGGGCTGCAGGGGCAGCGCCCACGGGCTGCAGGGGCGACGTGCGGATCTACAGGGCGGCGTACGGGCTGCAGGGGCGACGCGCGGCTCTGCAGGGCGGCGTACGGGCTGCAGGGGCAGCGCCCACTGGCTGCAGGGGCAACGCGCGGCTCGGCAGGGCGGCGCGCGGGCTGCAGGGGCAGCGCCCACGGGCTGCAGGGGCGACGCGCGGCTCTGCAGGGCGGCGTACGGGCTGCAGGGGCAGCGCCCACGGGCTGCAGGGGCGAACTCGCGGGCTGCAGGGGCAGCACGCGGGCCACAGGGCAAGGCACGGCTGCAGGGGCAGGCACGGCTGCAGGAGCAGCACGGTCGCAGGGGCAGGTACGGCTGCAGGGGCAGCACGGTCGCAGGGGCGAGTACGGCTGTAGGGGCAGCACGGTCGCAGGGGCGAGCACGGCTGCAGGGGCAGCAGGGTCGCAGGGGCGAGCACGGCTGCAGAGGCAGCGCAGTCGCAGGGGCAGCACGCGGGCTGCTAGGGCAGCGCGGCTGCAGGGGCAGCGTAGGAAGAAAAAAATTACGGTTAGGGCAGGGCGGAACGTTCGGTGGGCCCTAGGAGCGATTCTGCTCTAATACCATGTTAGAATAAGCAGGCAGGAATGATGGACTAGGTAGCATGCATGAGTACAAGTACCTAACCCCTAAAGTGTTGTACCCCTAGTAGGCTAACCCACTATAGCCTAGAGAGAACACAAACATACAGTTTGACATGCCCCACTCATCGAACGAAAAAGTATTCGATGCTGATGTCTCATTTCAAACTAAAAGTGCCGTTTCATTTTAGGCCGAAGGGTGTCATGTCATTTCATCTCAGACAGAGGGTGTCATCTGCTCTGCCTCTGTCCGCAGGGCAGAGAAGAGCACTGACGACAGGTAGCGCTCGCCAAAACTGGGCAGCACCACCTGGGGTGTGAGGGGAGGGGGGGGGGGAAGGGGGGAGGGGGGGGCAGGATGGAGCGAAATGCACGGCAAGGGTGTGAGTGAGGAAAGAGAAGAGCACTGAGGACAGATAGCGCTCGCCAAAGCTGGGCAGCACCACCTGAGTGCCAGAGAGGGGGAGAGGGAGGATGGAGGGAGGGAGTGTGAGTGAGAAAAGACGAGAGCACCGAGGAGTGGTGGTGGATCTCGCCAAGCGGAGAGAATTTCGAAATTACACGGTGCGAAGAGGGAGTGGAGAGAAGTGAGAGTGGGCTGCCAGCACGAGCGTGGGAGAGTGGCAAGAAACATGTAGGGGCTTTGCAAGTCTTGCCAGCAGGGAGGTTACCAAGAGTTACTCACGAGAATAAGTCGCTTTGGTGGATACTCAAAAGTGAGTCAGCCTGGTTAATAAGGGGATACAGAGAGGCACTCACAACAATAAGCTTGCCGGCATTCTCAGGCCGCTTGGCCACTTGAAGAGCCGCCACCACCGCTGCCCCTGACGAGATTCCCACCTGCACAAGCAGCGAAGGACAGAGGTGTGCGATTCCTTTTATTCCTTTCTTTCTTCTCAGGAAGGAGGGAGGATTGGAACAGAGAGCAGATATAGGATGGTGGTAGGGACGCTTCTGAGCATCGCTGATGGACATAAGGAGATGCGACTGTTTCTAAGGAGAGCGAGTCGCTCAAATATCATACATCGACTAGACTCAAAGAGATTCTGGACGAGAAGATCAGAGATCATTTGAATCATAAGCGAGGAGAGAGGGGCAGAGGAATGTGGGAAGAGGAAGCGTACCAGCAATCCCTCCTTGACCGCAAGGTCCTTGGCCATGGCCACCGAGTCATCACTGCTGACCTGCAGAGAGGATGATGTAAAAAGGGAGACATGGGAGCAAGATGGGGTGAAACAATCTCAACGTAAACACAGAATCTCCTTGACTGCGAGAAGGGTGATGGGACGAGAGAGGGAGAGAGGGACGTCACAGGATTGTGAGAAACCTCAGAGTGGAAACAGAAAGTCCCTCCTTCACTGCGAGGTCCTTGGCCATGGCCACTGAGTCATCGCTGCTGACCTGCAGAGAGCAAGATGTGAGGGGGAAGACACTGGAGGGGGGAGACATGTGAGATATGAGTGGGGACTGTAGTACGAAGCATGGTATATGAGCATTCTCAAAACACGAGTGACACAACACGATCTTGAATGCACGCACAGACTGGAAACATCTAACAAGTTTCTCAAAGACGTTGCATGTGCCTGTATGCATGTGTGCTATGCGTGAGCACACATGCACGCACGCACCGGACCGACCTCGTCCAGCAGCCCCACGTCCAGAATGCCCGGCACGGCAAGGCCGCTGTTATGAGCATTCAGATGTGCGTACGGCTGTTCTTTCACAACACCTCAACTGTTATGCTCACGGCAAGCAGGCAGGCACGCACGCACGCACCGGAATGACTTCGTCCAGCAGCCCCACGTCCAGAATGCCCGGCACAAACCCGGCTCCAATGCCCTGGATCTTGTGCGGACCTGCACAGGAGAAGGAGAGAGAGGGAACCAAGTAATGGGGGAAAACGAAGCCGTGTCATGTGTACAGTCATACCTGCCTCAGCCCGTACCTTCCTCCGCCCGTACCTGCCTCGGCCCATACTTGCCTCGACCCATACCTGCCTCGACCCATACCTGTCTCGACCCGTACCTGCCGCGGCCCATACCTTGCTTGGTCCATAGCTGCCTCGGCCCGTACCTGCCTCCGCCCGTACCTGGCTCGGCCCATACCTGCCTCGCCCCATACCTGCCTCGACCCCGTACCTCCCTCCGCCCGTACCTGGTTTGCCACCGGACAGAATGGCGCTCTCCTTGGGCTCCACGCCGATGATCTGCAGCGGATGAGAGGAGGGATGGTGAGGGGGGAGGGGAGAAGAGAGGGAAGAGGGAGGGTGAGAGGGATGTTGGGGGGCCGGGACAGAATGGCGCTCTCCTTGGGCTCCACGCCGATGGTGTGCAGCAGACACGAGTCAAGAGAGAAGGGGATCGGGGAGGGTGGTGGAGGAGGGGAAAAGAGGGGAAGAGAAGAGAGGGGAGGAGGTGGGTGAGAGGGACATTGTGGGCCGGAAAAAAAGGTGCCCTCGTTTGGCTCCACGCTGATCATTTGCAGCAGTGTTATTGCAGGGGCTGGTGGAGGAGGGGGGAGGGGGAAGGTGGGGGGGAGGGAGAAGGAAGAAGAGAGGAGGCGGCGCCTGAAAGAAGATGAGAATTGACAGAATGGAAATCTATTTGAGCTCCACGACAATGATCTGCAGCAGATGGGAGGAGGCGGAGAGGGCGAGAGGATGGGAATGGAAGAACAGGCGAAGGGGGACAGGGAGGGACAGAGGAAAGAGGACCCAAGCAGTCAACGCCACCTTCACGCCAGGATTCCAGTCCCCCCCATTCCCCTCTACAATCACACACCCACCTTGACGCCAGGCTTCTTGCTGCGCAGGTAGCGCCCCACGCCAGTGACGGTGCCGCCCGTGCCTATCCCCGCTATAAGGATGTCCACCTGCCCGTTAGTGTCCTCCCAGATCTCAGGCCCCGTCGTCTCAAAGTGCACCTGCACCACGCAACAAAAACAAAATACACCACAAAGAATATCAACCAACGGAAACTGGCAGCAAGGAGGATAAAGCCTAAACGCCCATCCTGCAGGCTGTAGCATCCCAAAAGCCCACAATCTCCTTCACCTTAGCCATTAGATGAGAACCAGGTAGGTACGCCTTGGCTTGGCCACCGCGCCCTTCATGCCCTTGGCGGGGTCCGTGAGAACAAGGTCGGCCCCGAAGGCCTTCCAATGCCAGGTAGGCCTCTCAATGGCAATTAGGTGCTGCTGAGCCGAGACGCCCCAAAACAATGCCATGCCTAAACCGTCTCAAAACACGCCAGGCCCCTTGAATCAGAACCTCACATCCCCTTGGAAAAACGAAACGGGCTTGGGGACCCCTACCTTGGGGTTGGCCGGGTTCTCGAACTGCTGCAGCATGTACGCATCCTTGGTGCCCTTCACAATCTCCTCCGCCTTGCTCACAGCGCCCTTCATGCCCTTGGCGGGGTCTGTGAGCACCAGCTCCACCCTTCATGCTCCCTAAAAGCTCTACCCTAAAAACTCCTTAGCGCCGTACCTTAGGATTCGCAGGGTTCTCAAACTGCTGCAGCATGTAGGCATTCTTAGTGCCCTTCACAATCTCTTCAGCTTTAGCAACAGCGCCCTTCATGCCCTTGGCGGGGTCCGTCAGCACGAGGTCGGCCCCGAAGGCCTTGAGCAGCACGCGGCGCTCGAGGCTCATGGAGGCGGGCATGGTGAGGACGAGCTTGTAGCCCCTCGCCGCTGCTATGAACGCCAAGCCGATGCCCGTGTTGCCCGACGTCGGCTCCACCAGCACGCTCTGAGTGGAGAAAGGGAGAGGGCCAGAGGGACACAAGAGAACAAGGGACTGCCATGAGGTCAAGCCGATGCCCGTGTTGCCCGACGTCGGCTCCACCAGCACGCTCTGCTCAATGGGGGATGGGGAGGAAAATCAGGACAGGGAGTTTTGAAACCAGGAAAAGTTTACCTCTGATGCCCGTGTTGCCCGAAGTCGGCTCCACCAGAACGCTCTGTTAGGGAAAGTACAATGGGGAACACGGGATAGTGGTAGGGGGACACATGAGCTCACACCAACCCGATGCCCATGTTGCCCCACGTCAGCTCCACCAGCACCCTCTGCTTGGATATGCGGAACAAAGAGGAACAAAGTGACACAAGGAGATGAGGACAAGGGGACAAAGGGAACGATGGAACAAGGAAGAAACAAGGGATCAATGGGGCACGGAAATAAGGGGACAAGGGCCCACCACGGTGGGTGGACGGGATCCCGAAACAAGAAAAGGCTGTAAGAAGAGAGGAAGTTGAATTGAAGCCCAACGACCACGGCACTGGCTGGCCGTGCTGAGGTAGTCGAGTGGGACAATCAATGCGTATCCAATCAGGACGCAGTGAAGCGAAACACGAAGCTGGAAGAGCATCAGAGCGTGGAAGAGCACAGGGAGGCTGACCTTGCCTGGAGCAATCACCCCTCGCTCCTCAGCGTCGTTGATCATGCTGTACGCGATTCTGTAAAGGAGGCCACAGAAGAGTGGAAGCAGGATAACAAGTCGATGCGATTCTCATGCCGAGTCTAAATAAAGCAATGACCCCTCGCTCCTCGGAGTCGTTGATCATGCTGTACGCGATTCTGTAAAGGACGGAACAGGACAGGACGAGAGTGGTCGGGATGGGACGGGACGGGACGGGACGAGACGGGACGGGACGGGACGGAACGGGACAGGAAGGGACGGAAACACAAAAGGCTGTTATATCGCCTTGGAAACTGGAACAATGAGTTATCGCTCCTCAGCATCGCTGAACATGCTGTACTGTACGAGATGCTGTGATGTGATCAGCAGGACCGGACGGAACAACAGCAGGAGGATGGCAAGACTTGAGATAAGTTAACAGAGCCACTTAGCTTCGGAGGTGTGAGATGTCTCAGATATAAAAACGAAGTTGGGAAGCAACAAAACTTCACTTCACTGCAGCAACTTCAAATCCCTAAACGCGATAGCTTTGAATGAGACACATGAACACTGTGCTTAAATCAAATCGGCGCAGGGACTTCCAAGCCCTAACACGCTGACAGCTCTAACAAGAAAAAAAGGACATGTTGCAACACACCTGTCCTTGACGCTGCAGCAGGGCTCCATGATTTCGAGCTTCCCTGCGATGGTTGCCAGGGCGCCATCAACGACCTTGTTGAGATACACCATGGGGGTGCTGCCGATGAGCTAGTAAGACGATCAACGAGGAAGGGAAAAAGGGAGAGAGACAGCCGCACATGGACAGAGGGTGATAGATGAGGCGCCATCAGCAACCTTGTTGAGATACACCATGGGCGTGCTGCCGATCAGCTGGTGAGACGATCAATGAGGAAGGGGGAGGGTGAAAAGGAAGGGCACAGGGTCAGCGGTCGACAGGTGAGGCACCATCAACGACCTTGCTGAGATACACCTTGGGCGTTCTGCCGATGATCTGGTGAGACGATGATCAATGAAAACAGGAAAGGCATAGGGACAGAGGGACGGATGAGGCAACATGGACGACTGTTGAGATACACCTTGGGGGTGCTGCCGATCAGCTGGGTCAATGATCAATGTAAAAATGAAATTATGGGGATAGTGGGTGACATACGAGACGCCATGATCGACTAGTTGAAATACACCATATGGGTGCTGCAAAATTTGATCTTTAAAACATATTTAGAAAACACAGGATAGCGGGTTATGGGTGAGGCACCATTGACGATGTTAAAGACTAGGGGTATGTAAGGATTACTTGGGCCTAACAGAAATATAAAGCACAAATCACTGTCGTCGGCGTCTAAAAAACGGATTCCTGAGAAACAGGGAACGGCGCGAAGAATGCGTCAATGGCTAAAAATACAAAACATTCGTTGAAGGACACGAATGGTAACCTGTGTAACATCCTCTGCGATGTTCAGCGTCTGCGTCGCTCCCTCCGCTTCAACCGCTTGAGCGTTCGCCGACACGTTGTGCTTTCGCTGCCGAGCAGAACCCGCCTCGCATCTGACACCCGTGTCGCGAAACGCGGTTACCGCACAAGGGTTCGCCTGAGCGAGCGAAACCCGGGAACCGGCAAACGAGCTCCTCAATTCGACATTCGCGACGCCTGATGCCGCCGTAAGGCAGCGCGAGGAAAGCAAGGTGGCCATGGAAGCCGACTCGGAACCGTCGAATGTGCGACAATTAGGAACGGTAAATCCGGCGAGGTGCACGAATCAGAATCTCGCCGCTGATGACACAGACGGAGCAGCGAGAAATGTTATACCAGGCGAATCACACACCTAATGGTTCTGTGACTCGAATTCTTTCAGAACACTGAGATAAAGAAGCACCTAATGGCCTGGTCAGCTAGTTAGCTAGCTGTGGAACTTGTGGAGCTTTGGCGGGAGAGGTGGTAGTTCCATCTGCGGTTCTGCCTTTCGGTGCAGGTCGATCCATTGCAGCTGTCCGAGGTGTGATGCGGTACTGCGGTTTCCCGTGGAGAAGTGTGTCCTGCTGATTTGGTTGCTTGGCTGGCTGGTTGCCCTCCCTCATCGCACATCTCCCTCCTCCCTCTCCTATTGGCTGTCTTCTCGGAACTGTTGTCCTGCGCGAAGGGCAGCGATCGATCCAGGGGGTGACGGCGACTCTGGCGAAAAATAACTGGAGAGTACGGTTACCCGTTGAGGTCAACAGAACTTGGAGGATTCGAGTCGGGTGACGTGGCCTCTGCTTGCATGAATGCTGGAGGCCGAGAAAAACCAGCTAATTTGGACAACGCACCAGATGCACTGGATATACCCATTGTACATTATGTCATTGGACCATCTTTATGATCTTAGCACCATAACATTTATAACTCTCCAGGTATTCCATTGATGGGCTTGTCCAACCTAGGCCAGTAAGAAGTGACTAGATAGTTGTACAGAAACACACATCAAGGTTAGACCACATGCATGTGCAAATCTACCGTAGCACGCTGAGGTCACTTGATGGTGTACCTCAGAAACTCAATCATCTTCGTCCACTAACAGAGCATCCGCCAGTGCTACAAGAGCAAGAACAAGTGCCATGTCCACATTCGGCATGATTCGAATGAAGTACGTCTGCGCGTCGAAAACGTATTTCCTTGCGTCCAAGAGGTTCTGATGAACTTCAGCAAGCAATATTCCACTGTTGGTGGTGATCTGAAACAAAGGGGGTGAATTGAGAGGCACACAAAACATTTAATAAAGCTGGTTTCTCGCTGTCAATATAATTGTGCTGAGCGGACGAGGTTCAAGCAAACAAGGGCTGTAACTTGCTGACTCGACTTGGGAAAGATTCAAAATGAAACTCTTCAATTAAGAAAAGGATTGAAACCCACACATTCAAATGAAGGTGGTTTCTCGCTGTCAGAATATATATCTGTGCTGAGTGGGCCACAGTTCAAGTAAATAAGGGTTGTGCGCTGTTGGGAAACGTCCAAAATGAAACTATGTTAATGAGAAAAGGGCTGGAAACCACATACCTTGAAATTATGCTTGAGTATTGAGCCGCTTAATACTATGTCTGGATTGTCAGAAGCATTGCCCCTTAGAAACGCCTGCGTGAAAGGAAACAACACAAGGAAGCAGGAACACACAGACTAGATGTTCAGGAATTTGGAGCCTGGCATCTGCAGACAAAAAGGGTTGACTGTGATGGAAAAAAAAGAGAACGAAAACAAACTTAACATAGGCGAGAGAGAGAGAGAGAGAGAGAGAGAGAGAGAGAGAGAGAGAGAGAGAGAGAGAGAGAGAGAGAGAGAGAGAGAGAGGAGAAAAAAACAACATCATTAGCAAAAGAAATAAGCAAGATACAGACGGGGAGCCAAGACAAACAGGAAGTAAGGAACATCTCTCACCTTTAGCACTGGCTTAAAGCTTAAAATGGACTTTCTGGCCTTGAGGAGATAATTGTCCCTGTTCGTGCTGTTTCCTGGGCAAAGGTACGCTGTGTCGCGTAGCGAAAGCACCTTGCTGACTATGGTGCACACAGGCTCGCCCATGGCGTTCTGGATGGTGGTCTTATCACGCATGGAAAGAAGCCTGCGGAGAAAAGAAGGGTGATTGAGATAAACTGTTTAGATCCTAGAGAGTTTGCTAGAGCTCAATCACCCGGACATGCAATATGCTTGAACACGCAACGCAAGTTACCGTCTTCCCAAGACGAAGATTGAAACGTGCGAGTTGTTTACCTACTTACTTGTCAGCGATCCTGAACTGAAGGTTGTTGTTGGCATCACGCACTTCCTTCGCGTCTCGGAAGGAAAACATCTTGTCCTTCATTACAAGAACAGTCTCATACGGTGCGCAGTACTGTGATCCAACCACCACGTACGGCTGCACCCGCGGCACTTGCATCTGCGACTCCATTCTTCCGCCTTTCAGAAAGAATCTCTCGTACAAGGGTCCTCACAAACAAGTGCACCTCGACAAAAAGACCGAGTGCGCGTGGAATGAAGGACTAAAGAAGACTTGGGAGGCTCACGCTGCCTTTACGGACCAGACTGCCTAACGAAGCATCGAACACTGCTGCGAACAGGCTTTACGAGCAACGCATTTTCGCCAGAATGACCAGCCGAGCGCAGCGACTTCGTCTGAGACGCGTGGTGGGGGGGAGAGATGGCGGCTCGGTCGACATTCTGACTCTAAGCGCCACCTGGAAGCGTCGGTCATCACGCCAGCTCGAGTTTCAGGACTTCGAAACGATAAATCCCGTAACACCGTATCGAGAAAACTAAGAAAAATTCCAGCTCGACAAACGTTCAACCCCAGTCTAACCTTCGCAAGACCTAAGTTCGAATCAACCATGCAAGGTCTAAGGCTGTTCCATTCGGCTGCATTGTGCCACGTGGAAGCAACAGGAAGCACGAGACCAGACGAGAGCCGCAGTCGGCTGGATGAACACAACGGCTAGTAATGTTCGCCTTCGTTTCATTCTGCTGCGTAAATGAGCATGGCGGGGCGTGGTTAGAGACACTTTTTGCTACGGTGCTATGCGTTTTTTAACCTATGCGAAGTGAGTTCTCCAACGGAGCTGCGAGAGATGTTCACAGGGCGATCGAGCGCGGCGGAATACGGTCTTAGACAGAATGCAATCATTCGCAATTACGCTAAAGTCAGACTATGAGGGTACATTCATGCAGGGACATTTGTGTTACAATTCGATTGTGTCCGCAAATACTGCATAGATTGTGTTGTGTCACAAACGCGCGTTGTCCTAATGCGACTTTTGCTGTATTTTACATTGGTTAACGTGGAAAACGCTAAAGTCGCGGACGAGTGTCAAACAACACATTATATGTGATGCTATGATATGGTGGGGCTAGTGTTCGAGGGGACACATTCCTAGGGTTGCATATTTGTATCCCAACTCTTCCTAGTTCATCCATTCCTGCTGCTTGGTTTCTAACATGGTTTCAGAGCACGTAGGTCCCTAGGACCGTGTTTATGACCGTTTTTTTTTTTCGGGCTCACCGTTAGATTCTGCCCTGCCCTGCACGATCGCACTGCCCCGCACGTGCCCCGTTGCCCCGCGCGCTGCCTTGCACGCTGCCCCGCGCGATGCCATATGCGCTGCCCCGAGCGCCTCTGCTGCCCTGCGCGTTGCGCGCACCTCTGCCTTGCGCGCTGCGCGACCCTGCTGCCCGCCGATGTTGGGCGCTGCCCTGCCGCGCTGCCCGTGCGCTGCCCTGCCGCGCGCCTTGCCTGATGCGTGACGCGCCTACGTGCTGCCCTGCCGTGCGCCCGAGCTGCCCGCCCGCCGCTGCCCTTATTTCCGCCCCCGGTGCAGCTCCGCCACCCGCGCTGCCGCCCGCACTGCAGCCTGGTCGCACGCGCTGATTTGCGGTGCCGCCTGCGCTTCTCCGCGCCTGCCGTCCCGAGCCGCTACGCCCCCGAGCCGCCCAGCCGAGCCGCCTTGCCCAGCCGCCCTGCCGAGCCACTCAAACTATCCGTGCCGACTATGGCGACACCCACCTCGATCCTAGCGCTTCTCTGTTTACTATCCTCTTTATCTCTGTTGCTATGCCGTGCTGCTCACTATGGCGACACCCACCTTACTGGAGTTTGACGCCGAGTATAGCCCGATCGAGTACGAGTCCTGGCTAGAGGGCCTTCACCTGTACCTGCTTAGAATTACCAGAGACGACATTTCTCTCATTGAGCACACCTAGCTCCCTTCCAGCCCCGCTCACGCCGACTGTGCCCGCCTCCATTGCGCCAGCAGGCGCACAGCAGAAGTATAAGACTGACCGCGTCGCTAGTACATAGTGGTTAGCACGCAACCCCACTGTCGCGCTTGCAGTCTGCATCACCTCCCGCCCGAACAGCGCACCCACTTTCGCCAGCTGAAGACGGCCAAAGCGCTCTATGACGCTGTAGTGAGGCGCTACTCCTCCCCCTCCTCTGCCGCTCTAGGTCGCCAGCTGCTGCGTATCTCTTTCCTGAGCTGTCCAACTTCCCCACTGTCGCTGACCTCATGACAGTCGCAACCGTGCTCCTCTCAAGCCAGAGTTTATGGCTGAGAAACTCCCCCCGATGTACGTCACTCTCTACTTCCTAGTGACCCGTGTCCCTGACTCCCTTCGCCCCATCCGAGACCAATTCCTCTCTCTCGACCCCCACGAGCTCACCCTTGCCTCGTTTGATTCCCGACTCCTCGAGGCTAAGACTAGTGCCTACGCTGTAGCTACCTCCCGTGGTACTCCCCTCCCCTCCTTCATTGAGGGGTGTTTCCCTTCCCTCCTTGTGCCTTCTGTCGCCTCTGCTGCTGCTGTTGACTTCCTCGGTGCTGAGGCGGCCAGTGCGGCGTCCACTCCTAGTGGGAGGTGCAACAGGGGTGGGAGTCAGAAGGGTAAGGGTGGTGGGGGTGGCGGCGGCGGTGGCGGGGGTGGTGGCAGTAGTGGGGGCGGTGGAGGTGGCAGTGGCGGTGGAGGTGGCAGTGGCGGAGGAGGTGGAGGTGACGGGGGTGGTGGAGGTGGCGGGGGTGGTGGCAGCACGGGGGGGTGGCGGAGGCGGCTAGGGTGGCGGTCAAGGTGAAGATAGCGGGGGTGGAGGTCCGGGAGCTGCGTCTGGGGGTGTGGCTGGTGAAGGAGGAGGTTCTGGGGATGGACAGCAACAGCAGTCGCGTCGGCAGGAGATTCTCTCGCCGCAACAGCTTCGTGAGTGGGTGGCCCAGCGAGGCGGCCTAGGAGGAGGGGGTCGCTGCCAGTACGTCAAGCGCACGGGTCCCCGCGCAGGCGACGTCTGCGGCAGGCAGGGCCACGCTGAGGCTTGCTGCTTCTACCGCCTCAAGGACGCTTTTCGCAAGGAGTTTGGTGAGAAGGCGAAGATGCCTGACTGACTAGGATTGCTCAAAGAAGAACATTGATGTGTTTGCTCTTGATTGGGACCAGATATGCGCTGGCATGTATGCTATGTATGCTGCTTCTGCTAGTGTTGAGGGTGACTATTACTCGGGTGTGCCTAGCTCAGGTGGTGTAGTGGCTGCTAGTGTAGGTGCTGCTAGTGTAGGTGCCTGCGAGTCTGTTAGCACAGGTGCAGTTCATGCGGAGGCTTTGCACACATTCACGCTAGACTCCGGCGCGTCTCGCTGCTTCTTCCGCGACTGCACCACAGTCACACCGCTCACAGCACATGCCCCTGTCACACTGGCCAACCCCACAGGCGGCCCAGTCATTGCACGTGGCACCACTGTTCTCCCGTGCCTGGCAGCCCCCTCTGGCTCCCTCACAGTTTTCCACCTCCCCTCGTTCGCTTCGAGTCTGCACACGTAGCTATGTCAGGTCATGTAGCTGCATCGTGCTCGTGTTGTTTACTCACGCACCAGTCTCTCCTCTGGCACCACCGTCTTGGTCACCCCTCCCGGCAGCGTTTGCGACGCATGCACTCTCGTCTCCTTGTGTCTGGCCTCCCGAGGTCCCTGCCCCCGCTCCCGCTGTCGCTTGCGCCGCCGTGCACTCCTTGCGTCTCGGGGCGGCAGCACGCCGCTCCTCACTCCTCGTTCCCTCTGACCACTGCTCCTCTGCAGACCCTGCACATGGGGCCCCGCCCTCATCCCTGGGCCGGGTCGTGAGCGCTACTTCCTACTAGTCGTTGACGACTACACGCGCTACACCACGCTGTTTCCTTTGCGGAGCAAGGGCGATTTCCCTATTGTTTCAATCCCTTGGATCCGCGCTGTTCGTCTTTCCCGCAGAACCTCCCGGTGCTGCGACTGCACTCTGACCATGGAGGTGAGTTTTCCTCCGGTCTCCTCGAGCACTTTTTGTCGTGAGGAGGGCATCACCCAGTCGTTCACGCTTCTGGCCTCTCCACAGCCGAATGGGATCACTGAGCGCCGCATTGGCTTGATCACGGAGGTTGCTTGCACCTCCATGATCCATGCGGCGGCTCCCCATTTTCTGTGGCCGTTTGCGGTCCGATACGCCGAGCATCAGCTCAAACTCTAGCCCCGTGTCTCCGAGTCAGATACCTCGCCTACACTGCGTTGGAGGGGGGAGGTTGGCGATGCGTCTGCGTTTCGAGTCTGGGGTTCGGTTGCATTTGTTCGCGATACTACCGCGGGCAAGCTCCCTCTTCGCACCATTCGCTGCGTCTTCCTTGGCTTTCCCACCGACGCCTCGCCGTGGCAGTTTTACCACCCTGCCATGCGCCGTGTCCTGCTCTCCCAGGACGTCACCTTTGATGAGTCCGTCTGCTACTACTGTCTCTTCCCCCACGCATCGTCTCCTATCCATCCGCCGCCCCTCTTTCTGGTTCCTGGTTACCCTCCGGTAGAACCCCACCCCCCCCCTCGCGTCCTGCTCCCTCAGGTGTGACTCAGGTTGACCCACCCCCCTTGGTTTCGCCTTTGGAGGTCTCCTCAGACACCTCTGGCCCGGCTGAGGGGGGTGACCCTGCTGCTGACGACGCGGTGGCCTCTCGCCGCTCCCTGCGCTTGGGGACCCCTCCTGGCTTTCCGCCTCGGCCGTCTTCGCCACCTCTGCCGCCTGTCGCGGTGGACTCTGGTGCTGCTGGGTGTGGTGCCACTGGAGGTGTGGACCCTGCGGGTGCTGACGCTGGAGGTGCTGGTTCTGGGGGTGCTGAGCCTGGGGGTGGACAGCAGATGTAGTCGCGTCCGCAGAAAACTCTCTCGCCGTAGCAGCTTCGTGAGTGGGTGGCCTCGCGCCGTGCTGACTTTGGAGGTGCTGAATCTGTGGGTGCTAAGCCTTGGGGTGCCGACTCTGGGGGTGCCGAGCTTGGGGGGCTGAGCCTGCGGTTGCTGACACTGCCACTGGAGGTGCTGGTGCTGGTGCTGGAGGTGCTGGTGCTAGAGGTCCTGGAGCTGGAGGTACTGGTGAAGGAGGTACTGGAGATGGAGGTGTTGGAGG